GAAGAGCGCACGCGCCGATTTGCATTCGCGTGTCCCTTGCGCAAATGAGCGGCAGGAAGTGCGTCGTCGCTGTTAGCGTCTCTCTGTGCGTTATCGTGTTGTTTTGGCGGTTGGCCTTTGTAAACTGTTGCCCCTTATCAACCGGATCTCGGCAAATGATGCCGAAGATCGCAGACCAAAGGCTCGATCTTTGTGTGTGTGTGTGTGTGTGTGTGTGTGTGTGTTTTATTTCCTCCGTAACTAGCTCCGGCCGATGAGCATGCGCGGTTTTGTTTGTCGAGAGAATTAGACGATTAGGAGCCTCGGTAACTCGGTACACATCCAGGAACTCACGACGATCTCGAACTTTTGCCATGCCATATCCTATTGACTTAAGCTCATAAAGTGCGTATACAAGCTGCTTTCATTTGACTTATCTCGAGCCTCCAATGGCGAGTGCACCCTCGGCGAATGAAATACGCCAGCTTCTAGATGCGCCTCATGTCGCCTGGTCCAAGTCGTCACACGTTCTTTATCATCGCTATCTATGTGAAATTTACGATCATTGTATAGATTAAATGGTGCGCATTTGAAAAAGCTTTGCTGTTAATGTGGCAATTATGAAAAGTCGTTTAAATGCCGGACAAATGCAAGTTTTTGTCTAATATTGTATAATTTAGGCGCATTATGACGAAAACTTTTAAGGACTTTGTTAATATACAAATTCAATCGATTTGACAATATTTGACTTTAGGCTACGTGTTAACTTGAAAGATGTAGTTTGCATAGAACAGTGATTAAAGCTTTACTTTTTAGATGCGAGGCGCTAGCAATACGACTTTATAATCACCAATAAATTTTCTTCTTTTTCGTATCGTTGTTATTTGCTCACTTCTTATACACCGCAAGGCGCGTTATAAGCTAAAAATAAATTTCAAAGTGGCTTAACCATTTAACACTTGATTTTGAGAGGGAGGAGCCTGTTTGCTGAATCTTAACATTACCCATGGAAGTTTGAAAGTGAAATTTATTTGTCTATTAAGAGCCGAAGGCAAAGGTTACCCTGTCATGATTAAATAATTAATTATTGTCTCGGTCAGTTTAGTATAAATAGTGATAAACGTACAATAGTTGATGCTACGTGGATCATTATTCAGCCTGATGAGAAATCAATGAAATAATGTGGAAAATGAGGGAAAATTGTCAGCGTTACGTTAAATTATTTATAATCATTTCACTAACATGACCCAGATACAAAACTTCTCATATCACTTGACACAAATATTGTAAACATATTTTAGATCTTTATTTGCAGACGCGCGCGCACGCGTAAAGATACGTGATAAATGACCCACCCAAGCGAAATTTATTTTAAAGGTCCGTGCAGTGATAAATAAAAGCTCGTAAAAACTCAATTACAAAAGTTAAATTAAATCGAACCTAACTAAAATAGAAATGCTTTTGTTTTGTTTTGTTTTCTCTCTTTTTTCTTTTTTTCTTTCTTTTTTTCTTTCTTTCTTTCTTTTTTTTTTTTTCTTTTTTTTGTTTCTTATCGCCAATATCAACTTATAAATAAAAGCACTCGGCTCATTCTGCGTCGAGTCTCGCCTTATCGGCGCGATCGTCGAGTCAGCGATAATCACTTCCAAATACATACACTTTCGAAAGAAAGTCAGACAACCCCTCTGCCCGCTTCGCCGCCCTTGCGCTTCCGCTTGCCAACAGCACGGAAAGGACAAGAGCTCTAAAGTCCAATGTCCACTTGGGTCTCGACTAACGATTCTCCTCTCTCTCTCTCTCTTTCAGATAGCAGAGGTGTCCCGTGAGGTCGCCCTCGTGATGACCTCGACGGCAGTAGCCATTGGAGCTCCTTAGCACATCGGAGACGGGCCTCGATCGCAACCCCAGCGGGACAAGCGCCAGGAACAACGTATCCGGGGATAGCCGGCGATAAGCCGCGAGGAGCGAGCCGATAAGAGAGCTGCTGTCGCGGGAAGGGTGGGGGAGGCCGGTGTCCCAAGGCGGTGGGGATGCGGCACGGCGATTAATAACGCGCCTCGGCGATGAGCGCCCAAGTCGTCAATAGCGAGTTCGCGCTCGCCACAGACGCAGCGCGCCGCGACGCCTAGCAATCGCAACTTCGCTACCAATCGTCGCTCGCCGGCCGAGGGGCGATGTTGCCGTGAGGAGGCCGCGAGTCGGAGTCAATCAGGATGAAGTCGATGGGCGACGTCGTGGCAGAGGCGCCAGCCAAGGGTGTCGAAATCGGGCTGCTGCGTCGCGTGAGCATCGACTCCGTCGACAGGCCCCCGCCAGCCGTGCCCTACAGCGGGCCCGGGGAGCTCCGCACCAGGACGCTGCGCAGCCTCAAGCGGGGTCTCGGCAAGCTCTGGCGCAGGCACCGGGGCAACGCCTCGATCACCGAGTACGACCCTTCGTACAAGGTCGCCTACCTCGGCAACGTACTCACAGGATGGGCGAAAGGTAAGGGAGCCGGGTGAAACTCGTGGGACTTATTCAGGGAATTGTGATTGGGCGACTGTGACGGGGTAGCTGGGGAATTGCCGCCCGGGGCCCAGATAAAGCTAATGATGGGCAGTGGGACAACGCGCCACGAAAACGGAATTTGTAGACTGTTACGGTCCGTCGACGACACACGTTCATTATGTAAAGCTGTTTCTTTTTCCGCGCTCCCCCTCCCCCTCCTCCCCGCCCACCCACCCACCTACCAAACGACTCTTTAGCCGTCGCAATACTCGAATTTAGATTATCGATGCTCGCCTCATGGGCCGATCCGTGACTTGTGCTGCAATACGAAGAAGGTGCGTTTGATGGATCGTCAGAGCATGTCCTATGCAAATTATCGGCTTATGAAATTATTTTGGCGCTTTCGGAATAATGTGTCGTGCTGAAAATTTCAAATGTAATTTTTCAAGAGCCGATCGGCTTAAGGCGCACGAAGGACTGAAAGTGGCTTTCTAAAAGTAAAATTATTCGCTGTTTGAAAAATATTTATTTCATGACATGACATTGAAGTATTTAACCAATATCGGCTCCTTGTCCCTCGCGCAATGAAGAAACATTATTTATTATCCACGGATACAAGCAATTAATAAGAAATTAGTTCCTCGTGTGATTTTACAAATTATACAGTTATTATTAAATATCATTTCTAAATACATTGTCGACGATTTCTAAATTAGCTGAAATTTTCAAGTTAATTTTTATCGGAGTACAAATTTGTTTTTAGCTGATATCGTTGGAGATTCAGCATCCGACCTACAGATTTTTTTTGGTAATTTGTTTAATTTGAAAATCTCCTTGTTCTCTTCCTCGTGCACTTGTCTCGATTACTTATACCTCTTCATAGAATAGCGATAAAAAAAAATAAAAAATAAAAAATATATTCAAAAAAATAAAACAAACAAACAAACAAACAAACAAACAGAAATAAATGGAAAACAAAAAGTAAAATAAAAAGAATCGTTTTAATTAACTAATAATTACTTTAATATCGTTGTTCGACTAAATGGAACTTTTAATAATTCGCGTAGCGCACGGTCAAGTTTTCAGATGCAATGATAGTTTTCTTATCTGACAAACGTCAATTGAAATATAATTGCTATTTTAACAAAAGTCTGTGTGCTTTCGAACAACGTTTAAATAAGCAAAATATTTTCTACAACTCAATTAATTAATCGTGAAACAACAAAGTAAAATTTTTTTTTTTTTTTTTTTTTTTTATGCCATCAAATATTCGTCGTTAGACCAAAGAAATTGTATTCCCAATACAATTATATAATTCACTGAAGCGTCGATAAAGCTTCGTAAAAACTACCGTAATTCATTATTTTTTTTTTCACTCGGTTGTTGCAAGCATTTTTGGATGACTCTTAACTTGAATGATTGAAAAAAAAACTTCTTAGTGTAAGTTACTTTACCGCGACTTACTTTGCTTAGTTTTGGGCTGAGATTCATTTAGATTGAATTGAGGTCTCAATAAAAAAGAATCTGTTTGCGATCATGATCAACTGTAGTCGGAGATTCATCTTCTGCAGTAATCGAAGGCGCCTCGATAGTTGCGACTACAGATACATCCACTCCATCGTTTTTTTTTTTGTTTTTTTTGTTGTTTTTTTTTTTATTGTTGTTTCATCCTGATCGGATGCTGTTGATAAAATTTCACTTTAAATATAAATTGCGACACTCACTCGTACATTTTCATTGTTGTTTAATAACATTGCATCTCAAATCAATAAATGCGTTTTTACATATTACATATTCATATCTCGATATGATTTGTAAGTTATTTGCAGTTTCGAGATTCCGACGATTGCACATGCACCATTAAAAAGCTCAATACCCGATTTCAAATAACACGGGTGAATGTACGAAGTTAATGATTGTTATGGGCGTTATCAGTTGAAAATGAATAACAGACACGTGTCTGTTACTTTTAACAAGCTTTCGTCTACTAAATAGATAATTGCGTACAATTAATTTCTTGAAATATCGACAGACATTTGTCTATTAAATTACAAATCTCATCAAATATTAATAGATAAACCAGCATTCATGCCCGCATTTGACTCCAAGTCTTATAAAAATTGTTAAAACCTTATCATTCCATTTCACTTTAAATCAATTTCAAAGCTATCTCCGAGCAATTATAACATTCGCAAATTATTATCACTATTAATTAACTACTAGTCAATGTATTTTGCAATACCTATTATTACGTGCTTTAAGCCACAATATTAAATGACATATAATAATAGCATGCGATAGCTCGTTATTATAAAAGTTAGAATGAAAACGGCTTTTATTTTCAACAAAAATATATATAACTTACAAGGCCTGGTCGACGTAAAATCACAAGTCACAAGCCGAACAGAGTATATTAAAAAAAAAGAAAAAAAGAGAGAAAAAGCCATGATATAGATGAAAAAAATGTCTTTTATACGGATGACTTATGCCGAAGGAGTGGCAGAAAAGTGATGATATCCCATGATCAAGCAACATCTTATCTTTTATACGAAAAAGTTATGGCTTGATGAGCACTTCAAATATCCAGGCATGTGCCTCTACCCTACTCGACAATTATTGCGATTCCCCTTAAATTTCAAGAATTTTCTCATGACTATAATCGCATTTCGATTGTGTTTGAGATAAGCCAATTTTTTTTTTTTTTTTTTTTTTTTTTTTTTTTTTTTTTTTTTTTTTATAGAAACCGATGTATCATTGAATTTCATGGTCAAGCTCGTGTTTACTCTCTCGGAGCCTCGAACCACTTTAAATTTTTTTTCTTTTATTATTTGTTATATACTAATTCTGGGTGGACGAGGCTCTTATAAATGTCCATTCATACACTTGTTTCTAACTCTATTTAAGTACTTTATTTTTTCACTGTCATTTTCCCTTGCTCTTTCCATTTCTTTGCTTCTTTGCCCTCTTGCTGCATCAGATTTATAGGTCTGTAGATTTAATACCAATTTATTATATTCCATTAATTGTATTAGCGGCGTGTAATTAGTAAGAGAAGGGAAGAGACATTTTTAACTCAACGTTTCGATAAAAAATAAGTGCCTGAATTTTTAAAATTGGAATGATTTTTCTTTGTTTTTCATTGCAAATTAGATTTGTCGAAGAGACACGACACTTATTATGCGCACTACGTAGTGCAATAAACAAATTTAATTAAAATACCTGAAACGGCTAAGAATAGATTATAAATAAAAAAAAAAATTGCTATTTTACTAATAGCCAGTAAATAACAATTAAAATTCAACATACGAAATACACGCGTAAAGCATTTAGATTTATATTGTTCTCTCGAAATTCCGGCGAATTGTATGCTCTTTAATTATGTACATTTTAAAATCTACAACGAACAATTACTCAATATTATTTATCTATAATCACTTTGTGAGTGAATCAAGATAAGAAATTCTCTAAAAGTAATTATGATTTTCATTGACATTGATCCACGACTGACTTTGAGTTAAAGTTTGACACAATTTCCATACGTAATAATATTTCATGCTTTTAGCATCGTCGTACCAACTGTTATTTTTTATGAATTTTTCTTTTTCGTTATTGGAAATAAAATGTTCGCCCAGGTACCAAAATATTAAAGTGATTGCGAAACCTATCAATGCCGAGATCATGCGATGACCTGAGAATACGCTTGATTTTGCATTCAACCGTTCGACCAATGTACATGTGTATTAGCCACACGTGCAGTGATACAATTCGGCATAACAGATTTGTGTACCGAGAAAAAGATTTCGCCGACTCATGCGCTCGATTACTCTTAAGATTCATTTGGCATTATTACTGATTCGTAATATTTTGCTTTTTGCAAATAGAAGCTTTTCAATTTATTTTAATTTGTTGCGGACAACCATCAATATGGCTCTAAATTATAAATTATCTGCATTGGATAATTGAAAATTTATGAAAATTGCACGACTGTCGATAAATTACATTATATATTATAAAAATGCGAAAAAACTTCGGAATAAATTTTATTTTTTATCTCATTTAATATTGATTGGCTTATGCGTTTATAAATCTTATACAATTTCTTTTCATTTATTGGCAATGCTGATGCATACTGGAATAGAGAAAGTCGATTGATTGCTCGATTAAACAATAACCCTAATTTCAATGTTCAATGTTATTTATAACAAAGCTCGAATCATACCAATAAACACATTAATTGGTCAAACAAATCAAATTAAAGGAAGATTAAGAGAGGAATTATTAAAGCTCGATCATAGTAGCACGCACATTTATTATTATATTAATTCATATATATAAATTAATACGTACATTATATGTCATTATTATATACCATATAAGTAAGATGTGCCAGAGAAATTGGAGAAACGAAATCGAATGAAAACAAACGATTATTTTATCCAATTTAACTGTCCTCCATAAAATCATTTAAAATGTATGATCATCGACATGAGTGAACATCGGCAAAAGTATCTTCACGTAAATGGAGGTAAATTAATGTTTAAAAGAAATACGACAATCTCGTTTTCCTAATGACCTACGCAGCATATAAAACAATGTCTCCTGGCGAATAATAGTAGGTATACCGAATAATCGCGTTCCACTGTGTCGTCGAAAGCTAGCACACGTGCAAACACATCGAGCCCCCGTCGATTTACCCCCCCCCACCCTCTCCCGCAGATGATGTTAATTTGCAATCGATAAAGTAAAATAGCGCGACGTGACTGCGAAGCTCCCCGGCACGTACAGTGCGATAGAATTCCCTTATCGGCTTAGCAGAGGAAAGAAGCAGAGCAATCGAAAGCGCTTTAAAAATGATTATTACATAGTAAAAAGAGAGAAAAAAGGAAAATCGATTTCCCACGCACGTGCGCGCGCTGCCATAACAATCGCCTTAATGGCGATGATAATGGTGCACGGGATAATCAATCAGGCGGCGATGCGCGCCGTACCGATAAACT